CGGCGGGACGGGCCCGGCCGCCGAGCCCGACAAGAGCCCCGCGCACTTCCCCGTGCACGAGTGCGTCTTCAAGGGCGACGTGAGGCGCCTGTCGGCCCTCATCCGCACGCAGGGCATCGGCCAGAAGGACAGTCACGGTGAGCGCCGAGGCGGCGGCGGGGACGCGCCTGGGGGAGGGAGCTGCCCCACGGCCCTCCGGGGCGCTGCTCGGGCCCCGCTTGCCCCGGTCCCCCCGTTATCCCGTGCGGTGCAGGCTGTCCCCCCTGGGGAGCATGGCCAGGCCTTCGTACCGCATCTCTGCTTTTCACTTCTCCCCAGTCTACTCAGCACGAGCTGTTCTCTATCGCCTTTGTTTATTTATCTGTCTATTTTTAACTTCTGTGTTTATCCTTCCTGAGACTTGGCTGGTTGGGGATGGCAGTGGAAACTGTAATAGGAGCTCTCCGCAAAAACCAGCGTGGCTCTGCCTCACCTAGACAACATTTCCTGGAACTTTCTTAATGAGAGTGAGCATGTTAGTCATTTTTTTTATAGTCACGCAAAGAGGAAGCTCTTCCTGCGTCCCAGAGTCACCTCGTGTCCCTTCAGGGTTCTTGCTCATTGGTTTGTTTTGAGCTGTCACCCCTCCTCTTTTGGAGGTGACAGGATTTAGGGGTGCTCGGGTGGGTTCCTTGGCTGTTAGTCATCTTTAATTTTTCTCTTGTTGAAGAAAAAAAGTCCTTCAAATCCTAGCACTGAAGCATCTAAGAGTAACCGTCTGGTCACTTGTCCCGCTGTGAGGTTGCATCAGACGTGGAAGCAACAGTAGCAGCAGTAGGAATGCGATCCTCACCTTACTTTATAAGATATAAATACTTAAAAACTTGCTAGGACACTTAACACGGTTAATTCAGGGAATAGTCTACATGTTTAAAAAATGAATTAGCATGTCAAGTTACCCTAAAAGTTTTTTCTTTTTTTAGTCTAAGTTTCCTGCCTTTAAAAAAAAAAAAAAAGAGGAGTAACACAATCTGTTTGAGCTGGAGAACATAAGTTATGTGTATGTGGTGTCTGGACAAGCTGTGATTAAAGGATGACGTTCTTCCTGATTAAGAGATCGCTGTTTGCTTTGTTTTCCTTGTGTAAAACAAAAAGGAGTGTTCAGCCAGAGTGATCTGTGGGATCGGTACACAAGGAGGATCACTGTCACTGGGAATTATAAACCATGTCCCTGATAATTGCAGGCATTTTGAAATAGACCAGTGTATGTAATGCCAGAGTAACTTCTAGTTTCTCGGTTAAAATGGACACTAGTATTTCTTACAATGGTTTGCTACAACATTTTTCTGAGTAGTGCATTTTTCATGTCATCTTCATTCAGGTTGTTGCTGCAAGGGCTGTTAGAATGAAAGCAACAGGTCCAGAAAGATTTTTTTTCTTCTTTCTTTCTTCTGCTGATTTCTCCTCTCTGCCTCTCCCAACTTCTCATCAAATCACTTATATCATTGGTATCTATGGCACTTCCTGGCCCATCTTTGACTTACCACAAATATTATACCAGGATTTATATGAATATACGCATGTGTGTGTACACATATATGTTCATATTTCAAATCAACACCATTCTGCTTTCTCATTACACTTCAGAGTAAAAAATCTGTGGGGTTTTCCATTCATTGTCTTCTTCCAAATTTTTACTTGAAGTGTTGCTTTGTAATTAAGAAAAGCCTGACCAGTATGGCCTTATTGCTTTCTGACATTTTTCTGCCTGACTCCGCTATTCACTTGTTTACATATTTGAATTATGAGTTATTGGGGTAAGTAATCTTAGTTTATGATTTTAATAAAAAATAAGACAGAAGAATCCTACTGCATGACAAATGAGTGACTGAAGGGAAAGAACTCCTAGTAACTACTGTTGCTTGTAGATTGGCCCTATTTTTAGGGTGTGTTTAGTGTACATTTATATTCTAAAAAGCGGAGTCCGATAGAATATTAAACCATGGTGTTGTGATGACACAAACATTTGCTATGTTTGTAAATTTGAGTGTAGCCTCTCTAATTTACTGATGAGCAACAGCTCTGAGCTCTGTTTAGAGAGCAAAAAGAGTATTGTTAATCCAAAAGAAATGAATTGCTTTTGAGAAACTCGTAAGTGTACATATTAGCTATCTTTTTTATGTTATGATAGGAAAAATAAAAGTATAAATATATATTAGAAATAACAATATGTTATCATGTTCCAGGAGAGGCAAATCTTTTTCTGGAGTTACTCTCTGGAAACACCTTGTAGGTATGCTAAAACTCTACCTGTACCTACAAAGATGTTTAACTTCTAATCTTTTATTAGGCAAGTGCTCTACTTTGTACAAATTATTTTTGTTTACATATCCTGGGTGTACACCTGCATGATTTTAGGCATGGTTGTATCAGTAATGCCTTGGAATAAGGCCCTATGGTTTACAAAGATTAAATTTGAGCATGGGGATAATAAATGCTCATTTTCCAAAGCTAGTGATGTCAAGGAAATCGTCTTCAGGTACAAGGGATACATGCAACTGGTTTATATGGTGAATCAAGCAGAGTAGTTGTTAAAAGGGAAGTCTCTGAGAAGGAGCTTGATTGCAGCTGGTTGGGTGTATCAATATACAATCTCAGTCTAAAAGTGATCATATCAAATATTATCAGGAAGGTGATTAAGTTGTGTGGAAGTAATCAAAACTACATGTCAGCCACTTATTATATAAGGGCATGGTAAATAATTACTGCTTTCCTAAGCAGGTAAACCACATAGTTGTATTTTTGCACCCTTCTGTCTCTTGCTGGCGATGGTCTTCTGTAAAGCTGTTATTTTCATGGTATCTGAGGCTTGGTGTTTGGTTTTGCTTTAATTCATTGAATGCCAAGTTGTTGAAAGTCTCCTTTGCCCCTGTCTTGCCTTCCCTGGTACAAGTGCTTTGTTGCCCTGTGAACTGGGTAGGAAAGGTTGATTAGGGTTAAAGTTCACAATTCTTCTTCCCTCCCATTAATTTTAACCCTGAGCAGTTTGGCAGCCTAACTGCAGAATTATTCTGTGTGCTGTTGATAGTAAACATTCAGCAGAAGCCCCAGCTCTTCTTGAGTTGAATAAACTGAACATGGTTAGTATTTAAGGTGGATAGAAGTGGAAGTTGTGCTGTGGTGGAGCTGCAGTGAGACGATTCCCTTTGAATGCAGTGGTGGCTGGTACTAATTACATGGTGAATCTGGGACTTCTGCCACCGTGCTTTGGGATCTCCAACTTTCCCAAAGAAGTAGAAGCAAATTTGTTCCGCTGTTCTTGCCAGATAGCCAGACTTCTGAGAAATAGAGCAAGCCTTTGGCTGCTGCCCTTCAGATCCTGATAAGTCCTGCTGCTTCTGGAGTGATAGGGCTGGCAGCGTGTGCTGGCTGGGAGACTCTGCTCTGCTCCGAGGCACTTGCTTTCTCTTCGTGCTCCTGGGCAGAGTGCGAGCTGGTCTCTGCTTAAGCCTATCACGGGGTAAAGGAGATCCTCCTGCCTGAAAACTTGCTGGGGGAGGACTGTGCAGATGGTGTTCTGCAAGCTGACACTCTTGAGGACCACTGCTGCACCCGGCTTTCTCCGTTTCTGTGACATATAATCACATACAGATGTCTTAGTTTATTTTAATAAATCAGACTTAAATTTGCTGCTGATATAACTCGCTCTGGACCAAAGAGCATCAAGACCACTGTGGATTTAATCAGATTTCAGGAAGGCTGAGATGATTAGTGATGGAACTGGGCAAAATCCTGTTCCATGTCTGTTTTTTTTTTTTTTTTTTTTTTTTTTTTCTCTTGTTGAGGCTGTTATCCTTTGGGAGAGGGTGCAGGAGCAACAGTTTGTTTGGTTGACAGGTCAGGATCAAACATCACATGGAAGTACTTTCTGTGAGGCAGCAATGGGATTTTGACAAAAAAAATGAGAGATTAATGTGTTTTTACATGGTTTGGTTTACTGTGTATATTTCAAAGGAAGATGTGTCTGTGCTGCCACATTCCAGGCTTATCTAAAGCAACCATACACTGTTGTGTTGTATCCTCGCCCACCACCTCTCCCCTTTCCTGAAGCCTTTTTCCTCACCTACCTGTTAGTGATTCCTCTCCCTCTGGTACGTCAGCTCATGTCTATTTTATCACACTGATGTCTGCTAATCCGTAGATTCCTACTTACCACGTGCTTACTGGCTTAAAAAACCAGCGTGAAGGATGATCCCTCTTGCTCCAGATTAGGGGAGAAATACCTCCTCCTCCTCCACCACCATCATCCTACCAGGAAGAGGAGATACAGGGACAGTTAATAGAGCTGGAGTTCTCAGTTTGCTGCTTCTGGGCTTGGCCTGGGGAGCAAGAGGCTTTCTGACAATATATGACCAAGCTTAACCTTTGACTGCTTCTGACAATTAAGGAGAAAACACTGTTTGGGGGTTTTGTTTATTTTGTTTGTTCGTTTGTTCCAATTATGCTGTTCATCTTCCTCAAAAATCGTGCTTTTTTTTCCCTCTCTGTACTTTAATGTTGGTTTTACATGTGCCTCCTTCCCTGCCCCTCTTTTCCATTGTGTTCCATTTTCTGATACATTTTTTGAATTGTGCTCTTTGGTGTATATATGATTTCAGCATGAAAGAAAATTCTCTGTTGGAAGAGATCCCTGGAGGTAGTGTAGTCCAGCCTCCCGCCCAATGCACAGATACCATCAGAGCTGGATCGGGTTTCTCACAACCTTATCCAGGAGAGTTTTGAAATGATGTATGTTGTTACACACTGATATATCAGTTCACATTTAGCAGCAGAATTAAATTCATCAAAGTTCCCAGGAACACTGTCGCGGGCCCGGCTGACTCTCATTTTGCTGTTTCTTGCCACTGTGCCAAGCTGTCAGGGGCCCGAGCTGTCTGCCTCTGGACTGGAAGGACATCTCTGTTTTATTCAGCATTCAGCGGAAAGGTGTCCGCTTTATTTATTTTAAGGCTGAATTTATTTTTAACTGAAGAGAAAACACATCATCTAGTGCTTTTAATATTTTTTCCTGTTTAAGTGCCTAATTAGATGAGCAAAACATTTCCCTCATCTTGCATAATTTCAGTTCTCTGAGTGTATGTTTTGGCTCATTGTCAAGTTTGTTCCTCAATAACATCATTACTTTAGAGGCTTAACAAAGAAGGAGAGTTGCATCCAATATTCTAAAGTATGTCATGGCTTGGAGAGCTTGCAAAATCTATTAACAGAAAATTTGTGGTCAGCTTAGTTAGAGTGTGCATAATGAATGAGGATGTAACTGAGACGTTGCTAGTGACTTGCAAGAAGAATAATTTATACTGTGTTTTGAATAACTAATTAAGAAGCACTTAGGAACTCTGCTGTTGCTGCCTTTCTTCATCAGAGATTTTGTGATACTGTATCATACCAGTAATGCTTTCATATAAGGGAGTCAGCAAATGTTTGGGGCTACGTCTTTTGGATTTGCAGTGAAATGACATTGTCCTTTGCACGTAGCAATCTTCATTGCTAAAGTGATATTCTAAAATATCCCTAAAATTCAGTGAAATTCAGATTGTGAAATAAACTTGGTTACCATTTTTTTCTGTCAACTTCACTGAAAAAGTATTTAAACATATAAGTACAGACTAGTATATTTAAATGGAATAGTTTTGCTTCCATAGGCTTCATTTAAAAAAGAAAAAAGTACTAGAATTTTAGTAGCAGCATTAATGCAGAAAAACGACTCTAACTCATTGTTCATATTTAGGAGAACAACTACAAAATGTATTATTTTCATAACCTGGAAAACAGCAGGTTGTTTATAATTTTTGCTAATAATCTTGGATGCCTTTTTTGCTTGTTTGTTTTTAAACTTGGCATTAGAACAGCAAGGCTTTTTTTTTTTT